AAAGAAGAAAAGATAACAAAAATACAAATAAAAATCGGATTGGGCCACTTCTTCAATTTTCAACCCCAGGCCCAAACAATTGTCCACGACCCAGTCCACTTCACACGGGTCGACCCGATCTGCCCCATTAACCCATTAACCCAACACCCTTCTTCATTCAAAAAACAAAACAAAAGAAAAAACAAAAAGAACAAAAAACCCTAAAACCTAAAGAAAACTACCCGCCCCCACGCTCCATCTTCTCCAAAAACTAAGAACCACCAAACGACCTCCCATGGCTGCCCTTAACCAGACGCTTCTGCCTTCTTCTTCCTCGACCTCACCATCGCGAACGTCCCCATTGACGCAGCCAACAAATGCTCCAGCTCCTCCGTACTGCGGCTATTTTCTCGTCGCAGCTGCTACCTATAAATCGACCTTCTTCGAACGAACCCAACTGCTGTTGTGTCGTCCGCTTCAAGCTCGTGCTACTGCTTTTGTCTCTCGCTACTGCCCTTGTTTCTGAAACCCCATGGATGCCATGTCTGCAGCTCGTCGCTGCTGACTCCATGGCTAGCCGAACGCACGAACAGCTGCCTCACTTCGTCTTCTTCGAGCTTGAGCAGCACCATGGCCAGTCTCCATCGTTGCTTCTTCTGCCTTCATTTTCCTCATGAATGAACTAGCTGCTTCCGTTCATCACTTCTGCCGCGACAACTGTTGCTGCTGCTGCTTCGGCGCGACTTCAATTTGCTTCTTAAGTTCGTTCATCGTCGTTTGGTTGAGCTTTGGTCGAGGTTCATCAAAACAGTCCATACATATTCGTGTCGGTCTGGTTAGTAGTTTTTGAGTTTTATTTTGTCCGTATTTTGTTTTGATATTTTCGAATCTAAAATCGGCAAATGTTTGTTTTGTTTATCGTTTGAATTAATTTTAGTTCATGTTCATGTGTTGTTTGTTAAATTAATTTTTCAGATTTCAAATGAAAGATTAATTAGTTATTTTTCATGTTTATTTCATGTTTGTATTGTTGTTTAAGTGAATATTTGTTAGTTTAATGTTTGTTAGATTCAAATTGAAATTTAATTAATTATTTCTTCAATTTGTGTCATGTTGTTATGAATTTTCCAGAAAATATTAATGTTGTTTGAATCGTTAGAATCTGTCATGTTTGTTGCTAAAAATAGATTTAATTCATGTTCATCTTTGTTTGAAGTCCATGTCTTAAATCCAGTGATCTAATGTGAGTTTATGTTTGTTTGTGATTTGTTGATTTAATTTGAATCATGCATATTGTTGTTGGTATTGTTGTATCTTTGTTCATCCATTGATGGTCTAAATTAACCAAGATTGGTTCCCGATATGGTTGATTTATTTCCATTAATTTTGAGTTGTGTTGTTCATCGTGTTCATATAATTGTTGTTGAAGATTGTTGAGAAATTGGTCATCTTGACTATATTTTGGTTGAGTTATGATTAATTGATTGTTTAGAGCAGAGGGGTAATTTGGTAAATTGCATTGCATTCGGGGGTAGATTTGTAATTGCAATAAGGTCGGAGGGGTAGTTTGGTAATTGAACATTATTTTGATTCTTTATGTTAAGCATGGGGGACAAATATAATGGGGTGGGTTTTTTGATGTACTTGTTTAATGTAATGGGAGATAAGACAAAACATAATGGGGAGGAAACTTGTACTTTTTTAATATAGGCATGGGGGACAAATTGTAATGGGTTGGGAATGTGTTAGTTATTTAATGTAGGCATGGGGGACAAAATTTAAAATAAAGAAGACATTTAATAGTGGGCCAAAGCATGCCATTGGGGGAATAATTTTGGGGTTGGGAATGGAAGACTTGTCTTGCTATATATAGAGTCATTCTTGACATTAAAAGGGGACTAGAACTTGAAACTTGGGAGGATTTTTGGGAGAGTTTTTAGAAATTGAATATTATTAAGAGAGATTTGGAGAGTTGACATACTTGGATACTTGAGAGAGTTTGTGATAGTAAAAGAGAAAGACAATTTGAACTTTCACTCGAACAATTCTGTTTGTTTTT